TCTGTCTTTCTCTCTGATATCAATCAACAATAATTAAACTGTTGTCTTGGTCATACAATAGGAAGTAAGTCATAATGTGTACTATTATTTACATTTTATCTTTTAATCTGTCTTTCTCTCTGATATCAATCAACAATAATTAAACTGTTGTCTTGGTCACACAATAGCTTGTAAGTCATAATGTGTACTATTATTTACATTTTATCTTTTAATCTGTCTTTCTCTCTGATATCAATCAACAATAATTAATCTGTTGTCTTGGTCACACAATAGGAAGTAAGTCATAATGTGTAGTATTATTTACATTTTATCTTTTAATCTGTCTTTCTCTCTGATATCAATCAACAATAATTAAACTGTTGTCTTGGTCATACAATAGGAAGTAAGTCATAATGTGTACTATTATTTACATTTTATCTTTTAATCTGTCTTTCTCTCTGATATCAATCAACAATAATTAAACTGTTGTCTTGGTCACACAATAGCTTGTAAGTCATAATGTGTACTATTATTTACATTTTATCTTTTAATCTGTCTTTCTCTCTGATATCAATCAACAATAATTAATCTGTTGTCTTGGCCACACAATAGGAAGTAAGTCATAATGTGTACTATTATTTACATTTTATCTTTTAATCTGTCTTTCTCTCTGATATCAATCAACAATAATTAAACTGTTGTCTTGGTCACACAATAGCTTGTAAGTCATAATGTGTACTATTATTTACATTTTATCTTTTAATCTGTCTTTCTCTCTGATATCAATCAACAATAATTAAACTGTTGTCTTGGTCACACAATAGCTTGTAAGTCATAATGTGTACTATTATTTACATTTTATCTTTTAATCTGTCTTTCTCTCTGATATCAATCAACAATAATTAATCTGTTGTCTTGGCCACACAATAGTTCGTAAGTCATAATGTGTACTATTATTTACATTTTATCTTTTAATCTGTCTTTCTCTCTGATATCAATCAACAATAATTAAACTGTTGTCTTGGTCATACAATAGGAAGTAAGTCATAATGTGTACTATTATTTACATTTTATCTTTTAATCTGTCTTTCTCTCTGATATCAATCAACAATAATTAAACTGTTGTCTTGGTCACACAATAGAGAGTAAGTCATAATGTGTACTATTATTTACATTTTATCTTTTAATCTGTCTTTCTCTCTGATACCAATCAACAATAATTAAACTGTTGTCTTGGTGACACAATAGCTTGTAAGTCATAATGTGTACTATTATTTACATTTTATCTTTTAATCTGTCTTTCTCTCTGATATCAATCAACAATAATTAATCTGTTGTCTTGGCCACACAATAGGAAGTAAGTCATAATGTGTACTATTATTTACATTTTATCTTTTAATCTGTCTTTCTCTCTGATATCAATCAACAATAATTAAACTGTTGTCTTGGTCACACAATAGCTTGTAAGTCATAATGTGTACTATTATTTACATTTTATCTTTTAATCTGTCTTTCTCTCTGATATCAATCAACAATAATTAAACTGTTGTCTTGGTCACACAATAGTATGTAAGTCATAATGTGTACTATTATTTACTTTAATTTTGATGACTTAGCTTTTTATGACCTTGTGGCGAGCCCCAAGGTCGTTCCTAAGACCGAATTCAGCCCCCGCGATGTATCATAATTGATTTTATGTCAATGCTTACATTTCTTCTTATCTTTTATACACGTTGTATTGGAGAAATAACAATTATGACTCACTTAGCAATGCTTTACCCAGCCCCCCCTGGCTCCTCACGTAAAGTGGGTGTGGCCACAGCAACAAAATGGCAGCTTGGAAGCACGCTTGTTATTTTTTAATCTGTCTTTATTCTCTCTGATATCAATCAACAATAAGTAAACTATTGTCTTGGTCACACAATAGAGAGTAAAGGCTAGTTTACAATGACGTTAGGCCAACGTACCATCAATTTTTAATCAAAAATGTAGGTGATTTGACCTTTTGATGCATGCTTTCATTTCCAACTTCTTGAAACATGTTTCAGCTCCATTGACTCCTGTATAAAAGGTGTTTCATGGTGTATGGTGACCTTTAATGAAAACCCAGCAATGCATGCAAGGTGGTAAAAGCAATATTAGAAATATTTGTACACTTACACACTTGTTTTTAATTTATCTATGTTAAACCGTATTTAATTAATTCTTGCTGAATTTATTTTCGTGAATTTTGAGCCACAAAATTTTTTGCTATATACATAATACAGTAGCAGTTGTACCATAAAAGCAGAAAAAATTTATTGTCTATCTAAGCAGACTTTGCAAAATACTATATTTTTGTTGACTGAATAACACTCAGAATAACATCAATATTATTGTTAGTCTTCAGTCTCTTCACCCTGTCACACCCATTTAGTTTACTTTTTTTTTTTCAAAATTTTGATCAAATTTTATTCTGCTTTATGGTATGTTGTTTATTTTAGACCAGAAGACGTACAACTAATGCATATAAAAAGGCCACTAGCTGAAGGAGCAATGGATGTTGCTTATTCACGTGTTCTCTTTCTGGGTACTGCTGGAGTGGGGAAGACAAGCTTTAAACGTTCCCTTATGAAGTTGCCATGGAAACCTAACACTACCAGTACTGTCGTATCAGATATTAGTCAAGTTCGTCCATTCACACGCGAGTGGCACACATTCAAAAATCAATGGAGAGCTGTATCACATGAGGATGAAATCGAAGAATTAGCTGGTTTAATATTGGCTGTTTACAAGAAAAAATTTGAAGGCTCTGATGCTACTGCATATGCTCATAACAAAAGTTCCCAGTCTGTCCCAGAAGCACATAGCAACATTATTCTTGAAGTTGAAAAAATTATATCTGATGCTTTGTCTTACATTAATGGAAATCCCACTTCGCCACTAAAGCCACAGCCATTTCTTCATTTTTGGGACTGTGGTGGCCAGCCATCTTTTATTGAGATTTTGCCGGTTTTTCTCACTTCTCGTACATTATTCTTTCTTATTTTTGATGCAGAAAAGGATTTGGAGTCCAACTGGAAACCAGTTATTAATATTGAAGGTGAGACGATTGGCCAAGAAGAGGTTCCTATGACGACACTTAATTACATGCTCAATTGGATGGCTAACATTCATGGTCACCTAATGACATATGATGATGAAGGAGGTTTTTGTGCATTTCCACGAATGTATTGTGTTGGTACTCACGGTGATTGTGTAAAGGACAGAAAATTAGAAATAAAGAAAGAACTTGAACAGCATTATCAAGATAAAGATTTCAGTGCTTTAATTGAAGGTACTGTAATTGTTGATAACACCACTTCTGGGCAAGGTGAGGCTGAAGACCCTTCTCTTCAAGCTTTAAGGGATGCTATTGTTAGATTCACAGA